CCATAGCTCTGATAAGCGATTGTATTTATATTATATTAGAGTTGCAATGTTCAAGTTTTAAAAATTCATGATAGAATTTTAAAGAATATATTATAATTGAAAACATAATATAGATATATATTATATATTATATTATATTAGAAAGTGAAGTTATAGAAATTACATATTTATTGTCCCCATTAAAACGTCCCACAATTCAGAATTAAAAAAATGTTTTTTTTACTGAAAAGTTATTCATTTTATAACTTTTCTATCAACGCAGCAATATCGACATACTCGAAAATTTTTCAATCAAATCAGCAAATCGTGTTATCATAATTGGTAAATTGTACTTCCTGTATGCTTTCAATAACTTTTGATCTTTTATTCCGCATAGGAGACGTCGAAAAATTTGAGAGCATTTTTCATAAATACAACAAACGAGATCGAATGAATTATGGAGGAATTGGGGAACCGCGAAAAGAAGCTCAACAACCTAGAGAAATACATATTAGGATCGCAGTAAAAATATTTTGATATCGGACGAGCAGGAACTTATATTTCGCGCGTTGGACAACCCCCGAGGGAGGTGTTACTCGCCGAGTGATAAAATGAGGTGGAAAAATTATTGCGGGCGCGCGGGATGACGATCGACGACGGCGAAATAATTTCGGTGTGCCTTCTGTGTCTTTTCATTTCCATGGAAACGACGTAGGAAGCATTCGCCGGGATAGCGAAGGTTCGACCGACGGCTGAGCGCCTTACACGCACGAGTTCCCCGAACCGCAATCAATAAGAAGTCGGGATTGCTCCAGCGATTGCTTCGGGCTGAATGGTGGTAGAAGGAAGGAAGCGGATAGAGAACGCGCGGCGGTCATGAGGGATATACGCGCGGAGGTAAAAGAGAAAGAAAACGTTCTGCATCTATCATCGTCGCGTAAATAGGGCAAAGAAAAATAATCGGGCATACACGATATTTCCACAGTCGTATCCGAGGCTGAAACGGAGAGACGAAACTGTCCAACGTCTCTCGCAATCGCGAACGTATAACGTCGTCGTATTTCAATGGACGAGTGTCTTTTTATCGTCTATGGATTCATCGGAGCACCCGTGATTCTTTATCGGGTGAATGATACGTCCGCAAAATACGACCGAAATCTCGTGCGAGAACAATTTCGACGAGGATGGAATTTGGAGAGAAATTATTGGTGAATTCACTAAAATAGAGGATTTTCTGTGAAAATTTGTTCCAACATTCCGATAGTATTACTGATTTCATTTTCTATCGTAGAACTGATTATAATTATATTTTATACAACATATTTTTTTATACGCTATATATTCTGTTTCGAAGGATTAATTCATGTAAAATTGATGAATCTTTAGAGACCTTTAAATTTTTATATTTTTCTTAATTCCAAATATTCATATTTAACATATTTCGTTATCTCTACTCATATAGAACTTAGTACTATGTGTAATCAGGCTTCAAATCCGGATAATTCGAATACTATTGATATTAACCATGTATTTAGTCTTAATTTTCACGTAAAAAATTAACGTGAGACTAATTTTCACTCGTGATTCAAGTTTTCAGATCAAAATCCGGATCAAAATTATGAGCCATTCGGGAACCACGCAAACTCGTTAAGAGCTAAACGAAACGAGATATCGCGGCGTGCTGCTACGTGCCTCGCACACCCTTTAGACAGATCAACGCGTGCCCTCGTAAGCCTGGGCGAACAGGGACGGGCGGACGTGTCGGTGAGGATGTCCGAGAACCATTTTACGAGGACAAGATCCCAGAGGAGAAATGGAAAAGTTAAACGTTGGCAAACTTTCTTCCCGTGCTCCCTCTTGCCTTCTTCTCCGTTTCCTTCGCTCGTGATCCTTCGCGTCGTTTTCATCCGCGCTCCTCGCCAAATGACCGTTCCGTTCTCGACGCTCCGAAGCTGTGACAATGACAGTTTTGGGCAGGGTGCCCTTTTACTGTTGCCAGTCGAGGGAATCGAAGACAAACAGGAGAGATTTCAGAGCAGTAAAACCGCGAGATGACAGTGTGTTTCGTGATTTCCAATACATAGCTCGTTTTGTGAGTCTTGGTTCGATGCTACATCGGCCTCTTGCCGAAGAAAGGAGCAGGAATCACCTCGGTAGAGTATGCCGGGTCACGAGACTGCTTTACGACACAACAATTCCCATTTCACGTCATAAAGTTGTTTTCTTTCATAGCGTTGCAAACGCGAGTTTCAAAGTAGCGACTATAACGCGGCTCAGAAGTAGTAGTCATTATTAAGTTTACGTATTTTGTCGATATATTGTCTAGAATGTTTAAATGTATTTTAAACAGATAATACTATGCTAAATTGTAAAAGTTAAACTTGACTACTGAAAAGCATAAATTGTAGAGAATTATACAAATCAGCTCTTACTTACAGCCTCAATATTTTAACAAAAAGTCAAAAAAATATTAACTCTTAATACATTCTTCTTTGAATAGTACAACATTATAAGTCAATATATTTATTTACAGTAAAATAAATATTTACTCAATAAAAAAATAATAGTAAAAGTACTTGTTTTTGTATCAAATAAATATATATTTACCTTTAGTAAATATCTACTTAGAACTATTTAAACAAATATTTATTAAAATTTAGTATTTTTTTCAGTGTATGCGAAACTTTGTCACGCGTATATCTCAAATTTTTTTATTCAAAGTTTCATACTTTATAAGACTTTGGATAAAATTGTCACGATTTAGTAATATTGATTAATGTCACGTAGGCAAAATGTTTATACTATTATTATTCAGACATTCAGCACAGTGTTTCAAGACGTTCAACTTAGTCCAGCTCAACCGCAGCTGATATTCTGCTCGCCTTATACGACGTCACGTTCCGTTGACCACTATCCCCGAAGAGTATGCTACGTGCGCATCTAAACCAGTATCTGTGTTGTACTCAACTTTTATCAGCGCTTCCATTTAACCCCTCGAGGTTCTCGCCAAGTAAAAACATGTAGATTCATAAAAGCTAAGGCTCACATATTCTTAGTAAATAAAAAGCGAATCTTCTTTCGTACGATTAGTATGTGAGTTTAGTTACTGGAGCAAAGTACATAACTATTGAAAAAGAATATCTCGGTTAAAAGTATTAAGCATTTAATAAATTATACATCCAATATTACATGTGATTAATAAAATCTTAATAATATACTATTACATAAAAAATAATAATTAATATATATAGATATATATGCAAATATAGTAACAAATAATAATTTCTCTGGGCTTATACTGCATTTCTATTGTATAATATTTATATGACATAACATTTCAGTGACAGTGTGTGTATATCAAAATAATACTTATTAGAGATCAAATTCGCGAAGAATACACGAAAATAATAATATATGTATATTTTTATAGCCTTATAACGTGGTCCGATGTACAGCAAATGATACTGAAAGCTATTACGAAGCTTTAATAACAAATGAAAATGCTTCACATTCTCATCGTTTAATTAATTCCTTCCAACCGTAATGTGACGGCGAAAAAGTATTTAATTACTCTACACATGGTGTGTAAGTTTTATGCAATCGTTAGCTGTATGGCTTCACGTGGTAACATTAAAACATTATGATGGTTATTATTCGGCCATATCCATTAAAAAATATTATCATAATTACGATGTAATACTAGCCGCAACGGTTTTTATCTGAAAGAACAAATTAATATAACGAACCAAAAATTTCTGTCTCCCACTTTTACATTCTATAGAATTTTTGTCATTAAAAACGTGGCGTGTTTTTTTTTTACGATTCGAAACGAAGATGTATTTGCAGTGTTGCCTCGCGCATTATTAGCATTATTTTTTTAAATATTTATTTAGGACAATATAAATTTTTATAAATGCAAAAATATCAGTAAAATAAAAATAAAACACTCCACGTAGGCTATTCTTAATGTAATTCTTAAAATTTTAAATTTATTACGAAAATATTTCTGCATTTTAAATGTTATGTTAATTATGACGAAATACACTATTAGCAAAACTTTCCTAATTAAAATTAAATTTAAGTGGACATAAATTGTCTGTGCATACAATTTCAATAAGTCTAAAGGACATTTGTATATATTTGCTTTTGCTTTTTGCATGTGAAAACTTTATGTTTGCACATGTTTAAATTAAAAATATTTAAGTACTCTCTCTTAAATTATTTTTTTTCGATACAATGTAATTATGATATGTAATTAACTGAGAGTTTTTCAGACATTCCTGTCAAATGTATGTCCTTTATAATTCTTCACGCGATTCGTGCATTTCATAATGGAGTATCTTATTTGACCCACTGAACCGCGTACGTACCGTAACAAACTTCGTGTACACAAGTGTACATGAAATGTAAATGCACAAATTATACCATTTGAGTGTAGCTCTAGTTTATTTGTTTTGCCGAAACGTAACTACATTAAACGGATTAAAGGAATGCATTAACTCCGCACGAGAGAGAAAGAGAAACGTTCTGCCATACTCCTCAGCAGGTCGTCAAAAGTTTAAGCTGATAATTAATGTGTTACCACCGTTAACACGGTTATACCGTAACACGGTTAATTCAATGTCGACTGTTATAATTAAATTTAGAACCAGATAGCGGGCAAGGTAGTTAGCCGCAACCTACAATGCAACCGGGTACAATGCGACACGCCGCACAATGTTATGTTCGTCAGATACCAATCGCGGCAACAATGCATCTCGCGCATTATCAACGTCATGTGAATCGCAATTCAATTTGTAACTTGCGGACGCGCACTGTGAACGTCTAATCGGTTTTCAGATAATCTCTATTGCATTTGGCTTGCGTGCTCGCAGACAGAAAAAAATTTCTCAGAGTCCAGAGATGCACACGCGCGCACCGCTGATATACCGCGAGCGAGTGAAGGTATGAAGAGGAAAATCCGTACAGTGCAAGTATTGAGAATCTAGTCTATTCTGGTAGAAATTTTATATCGGACTCACCGGTAACTTTGATGTGATAGGGTAACTGAGCTCGCCACGTGTCCTGCATTTTCCGATCCGGCGCGACGCACCGATACTCCCCAGCTTCTTGGTATACAACCCGGCTCAAAGCGAGGGGCCCGGGCCCGCCTACTGGATCCATTCCAGGTCCGTGGCCCCAACAACCGCCGTCACACTCGAGAGTCACAGCACCGCCGATTTGCACCTCCATCCGTCGAGAATCGGTCGCTTCACCGTTCAGTGCTTCCGCTTCGGTCTCCATATCTGGATCATCTAAATCCCATTGATTTAAATCTCTCAATGAGCAGCAAACTCAAAAGTCGAACTTAAACGTATGGACCACAGGAAGATGAAACAATACACGAAAATTAATCCACAATGTAGACATAGCGCACACTCGAAATGAAATTTTAATGAGTTTTCTTTAATAAGCTATTATATCTAAGCTTTAAGTCTTAAGTCGTCAGAAATTGACCAATCATAGTCGATTATTCTTCTCACATTCGTCTGTGATTGATTAATTTTTTACGGCTTAAAACTTAAAGCTTAAGCTTTAAATAAGCGATTACCCAATTGAGTAATGGCTTATTTACTATTATGGAAAGTCCATTAGATTTCCTTCCTAGATTCTTTATATTTCGTGAATATGATCCGTAATAAAATATATAATAATTCATTTAAAAAATATCATAATATTTTCAAATAAAATTTCAAATTTTATTTGTTTGAACCTAAAATGATTTTATATTTATCATTGCATATAATTTGTTTGTTAAATTTCATAATTATACAAATATGAATCTTTCCTGAACGCTAGAAAAAAATGTTAAAACATGTTGCACAATTAATAAGCTTTTACGTACCGTAAATGTGAGAATTTTCTAAGAATTTTCAACACATTTACCCTTTACCGTTATTTTGAATTCCGGTTTCGATATCGTCATCGATATCCAAGAACTACTGTGGTATCAGAAATCGGCGGCACGTACGAGAGATAAAGTTGGGGCAGTATCTCTCTACCCTCACGTGCTTTCGACAAAATCTTTTCCCCACTATGACGTTACGTACTGTCGGTTCCAACTTCTACCCTTCCTCATCCCTCCCGTCCTTTTCCGATTCCACCTATGGAATTATACGGCTACGATTGTTTGCTCTCCAGCTAGTGCTATGTCCACAATTGCAGAGAAAGAGAGAGAGGGGGGGGGGAGAAAGAGAGAGAGGAGAGAGGGGGGGGGGAGAGTAGATGGTGTGCAGAGGCTGCTCGTATCTCTGTTCGGGAATTAGAGCCGGACTGTTCCAACGGAATTCGGCTGAGAAAGAGAAAGAAGCAGGGCAGAGGAATGGGAGGACGTAGCAGTCCTTTGAGTTAGCAAGCTGATCCTCCAGCTCATCCTATAGCAAAACAAAGGGATCAAAGTGGTGCGGATGCGATAGGAGGCTTTCACTTCCTCTCATGCTCGTACGGTTCCCAACTATATCTCGTTTGTCTTGTAGTTTGTTCGGAATTTTACAGCAAACACCACCGCTAGTGCTTTAACAAACACAGGAAAGGAAAAGGGAGAAAACAGAGGACCCGGTAATCAGGCCCGATAATTCGACGTTTTTCGTCGGCATTACTCCTCTCTTCGACAGCTCTCGTTATCTCCAAATTTGATCTGCGCCTCTTCTTCTACAGCAGCGGCTTGTGATCGTCCTAAATCTTAATGCGATTCGCGTGCACTAAGGTGATTAAGGTTCTCATATACTCGTCTGTGATCGCGTTATCTCTAATTACTTTGATATGCTTTTCGTGTTCCTACTAATTGAATTATGCCCATCCAAGATGTTTAGTTAAATTGGATATTTGAAAATTATAGAACATCACATACTATCACAAAGTATTTTTTTAATAGAGACAATTTAATATACGATAATTTCTTTTTCTATCGTTAATAAGAATTAAAAATTATATTTAAATATGGACATATACATAATAAATAAAAAAAAAATGTAAGTTTGCACCATCTATGCTGGTAACAGTTACAAGAAAAATCTGTTCGCCTGTCGATAGCGCTAGTCTTATCACTTCTGTCCCTTTAAACTACGTCCTATCTGTAGACTGTCTACAAGCCGGCGAAATTAGCGCGTCGGTTTAAACCCGCCTTGACGTTATCCGGCGGATAAGTAATCCAGGAGGAGATTCGAACAGGACATAGTAGCAGTGTAATCGATAATTCCCACGAAGGAGGATGGTTGGTTTATAGGTGCTCTCGAGCCATCTAAATTGCGTAGAGATTAGGTGCTCGGAAGCCCGTATCCAGCATCGTCGGTCGAAGGAGCAGACAAGAGTAAGAGAGAGAGAGAGAGAGAGAGAGAGAGAGAGAGAGAGAGAGAGAGAGAGAGGATGAGTGTGATAGAGAAGAGTAGAGAACTAGATAGAAGACAAGAGGATGGGGAAAGAGAGAGAGACGAGGACCGTGGGTTTGAGATGCAGGGAGCGCATCGCCCTCTGGTTATAATGGCAAGATGGAAGGAATGGGGCTAGGTAGGAAATTTGCAAATTTTCACGACGGGGCACGGATAATTTCCGGTTGGCTCGGTGGTTTCCGCCCTTGACAAATGACTGTGGTATCCGGTTATTGGCTGCAGCGACGACCCCCTTCGCATTCCGAATCAGGGAGAATGTCTCTTCGAGCACTATCAAATGCATAAGGGGTAGACAATGCATCAGCCAAAAGATGCACTGCAACGTAATTACCTTTCGTCGATGCTACCGTCGCTTTATACATATTTCGAGCATTACGTAATATATTATTTTAATTTTTTTTGATAATTTACTAATTTTTTTAAAACGCAATAAGTTCACACAGAAATACAACTTGGCAGAGTATAGTTAGCAAGCAAATTTATTTCTATAAGATCTAAATATATTCCTGATAATCCAAATTTTATTTAAAAAATGTTTGTATTTTTACATTCTATTAACTGTTTAAAAAGTAATTCATAAATGAAATATCTGATTAAATCATATCCCTAATTATATAAAATTATGTAGTATTTGTATCGTTTATTGTTTTCTCGACCGTGATAGTTCTGTATTACAGATCTATTACTTAAACGTAAGATACAAATTAATATTGAAGGTATCGTAGAAATTTCAATTTAGCGAGTTAAGCTGTGAAAAATTATTCTTTTCAAAGGAACACTTCCTTTTCTTTTTGTCGAAGGAGATACATTTATTAACTTGACGTTTCCGCTCGAATGCGCGGGAAATTCTACGTACGCTATTGAAAGCGACAAAGTGGCGTGACAACGATTTACTCACAGCGAACATTGAGAAAATATCCGATGCTGGTGAAAATGCCGAGCATATGCCGCGTATAACACTTGTACCAGCCGCTCTCGGCCCGAGTGATTTTTGTGAAGTTCAACCATCCGTCATCGCTCTGCTCCACGGGGGGCGGTCCATTGTCTGAAACACAAGCGGAAAGCTGGTGGATATACGAATTAACGCACTGGAAACAGCACGCACGGTCCGCGGATTTACGTTAACGTCGTCGCGCAGTTCGCATCAGCCGAGCGAGTCGACTGCAAGCGACTTCTCTCGATGTTCATGATTTCACATTTTTCATAGACAATTGCCATACATGCATTATTCAATAATTAACTATTCGAAATTAATCGCCAACCATCGGAAAAAAGAAGCAGATATTATGGAATTATTCGGAACAGATTCCAATCAGAATTATTCAATAATTCCCTAGATTTCTATTCTGTTTTCGAGGGAAAACGAAATAATTCCGATCGAAATCTATTTCAACTATTTCATGATAGGTGTCCAGGTTAAAAAAGTTAAAACTTTATTTTAATAGATTTAGAACGTTAACTTTTTTGCGTGAATGTATAATGATAATTGTTTGCGAATATGATTTTTTTAGTAGAATATGACATGTGGTTCCTCATTAATAATAGCACAGGATTAGACATAAAAATAATTAGATCATAAGAAGTTGCTTCTTTATAGAGATGAGAGATTACAGACGTTAACCATTTTATCTCGTTTATATCATTATCAAAATTGTTTCACTTTTAAAACGTCATCCATCTTCATCAGATAATCCAATTATATTGATTATGAAACGGGTATCATTTTTGTGATTAAAAGCTCTTGGATAGTAATTTAAAATTGTATTGACGTACCGTTTGTTTATTCGCAATCATCTGAGAGATAAAGAGAGATAAAAAAATAAAATAAAAAGAGCGTGGAAGGAGGAAAGTTGAGGACTCTCTCATCCAAAATTATTAATTATTATATCTGAAAAATTATCAGTAATGCAAGTGCAATGATCGCCGAATTTCATTAAGGAAATTGAACTGGCAAGGGTATTCGAAAAGAAAAATCCAAAAGGATATTTATTCGACTTATTCATAAATGCGGAAGTGATTCTGAGAGAGCGAGTATCAATTCGTTGGCCTTCCTTTTACCGTTTGCCGCCAAACTTTCATTTAGCTGTAGCCTACTTCTTTCTTCACTATTTTGGATCTACCATTACCGCTCATTCCTTCTCTCCTCCGCCATCGACCTCGTTACAGTGAAGCCGCGGATTCGACGCAGCTGTCGGATTGGCTACTTGAAAGTATACCTCTTTCGCGAATGTGGAACTACCCTAGGGAATAAAGGAAGAGCATAGTCGGAAAACACACTCATGAAAGATAGAGGATTACAGAGGAAAGGGGAGAAATGCGGGAAGAATATCGGGAAAGGGAAGAGAGTAGACGGAAAAGAGAAGAAGCGAATTCCATGTATCGTCAGACGGAGTTTTGTAGTGAAACTTTTATATAGGCCGGCCATAATCACAGGAAGGGTGGTGAGCTATTCTACTAAAGACACCACTCGCCTTTAACGTTGCCAAGGCAAGCTCGATTGTGTTAACGGTATAGTATCCCTGGCGAACTTCGTGAGATGCGGCGCCGTTTCGCATGAAATAAGGCCAGGCCGTGACTTAAAGTCCAAAAAAAAGTACGACATTTCCGGAAAGTTCGGCTGGGATTCAACCAATTTGGCCGGGAAATGAACGAAGCCAACTCGAAGTAGATTGAAACGGAGGACAAAGAATTTTCTGCCAAAATTAAACACAGAAAAATTTCTCCTGTAGGAAATCATAAATTTTGAATTGAAGACATATCATGTTTTTATGTAATATCCAAGTAATTTTCTTCTTTTATTATAAAAAATCAGTTAATATTTAACGGTAATTAGAAAAAGATTAGAATATATTTGTTACACCAAATCGTATGTGATATATTAACCGCTTTATTAACGATATCATCATGTTATGTCCTACACTTGATAATATAATTGACTTTGAAATTGCTGAACAAAATTCCATGCCATCGTTGTATTATAATTTATATCAACATAATAATAATTTGACAATTTTATTTTCATAATTTATTAAAATTACAGCAGTAATAGTTGATTTATTATATTTGTATAATTTCAATTCTCTCGAGATACAAAATATGACATAAAATAATAATAAATTAATTTAAACATATACAGTGATTTTCATTAACAAAAATTGATTCTTTGAACAAAATTTCATTATTGTAATTTTATTTTCGTGAACTAATCGTCTGAAATAAACAATGGTACTCATGGAAAACGATAGAATCATAATTTTCGAATGAGACCAAGTTCATCTCGCTATATAATTTTTTTTCACGAAGATACTGATTATATCGATCTCAATGAAAAAAATATTTTTTAAGATGAAGATCTCTAAACAAAATGCATATATGTTATTTTCATAATTAATCATCGATAATCACTTTTACAAACTAATGATTCAATACAACTAGTCTTGCGCTCATTAGAAACGACAGAGTTATAGTTTTAGAACGGTATTATTTCGTTGCAATTTTCTGTGCAACAATATTGGCGATTATATCGACCCGTGTGATTTTTCGATCTAGTGGCAGTGTTGACCAGCGTATATGATTCTCTCGACGCGGCATATCATGTTACAAAGCACATGTACTCTACACGTTTTCGCACCTGTTTTTTAGTAACGGATTAGCACACCTGTCAAATTACATACAAAAAGTGTACACACGGCGATCTTTTATGAATGGGTATGCACACCGGATTTTCTAAACGCTGTAACTCCATGAAAAATCGACGTAGCGACATGGAACAAAAACCGATCTTCTGTATATCGTGTACCACACAAGTGCCTGTGTCAAAAGCATAAGCTTTTATCGTGATACATATATATATGTGTAAAAATAAACTGGCTCTAAATTACAAAAAAGATATTTTATATAAGTAAAATATTTAGAACTGTTAAAAAAAATACAAAAATATGACACTAGTCTTTTTTCTTCTTAAAAATAATGTTGTCGCTTATAAGATACTAATATTTTAAAATAATGCTTTTAACTAAAATATCAAACATGTCAGCAAAATGACAATAAAAAAATATATAAAACGTTACAGTTAAAGAAATGAAATCTAATACTGATAAAACAAGCACATTTATTAATTGCCACAACTGATAATTATTTCTTTAGGTAAAAGGAACGATACAAGATCATAAATTGCGGACTTCACAGTTAATATTTCGAACTCGGAAAAATTCCAGTATCCTGAAATTATTCTGGATATATTATTGGAGTTTTGATATCCTTGCTTCGCGCGCGCGTGCCACTTCCAAATAATGATCGTATAGAGATCGACTTCCTCCTAAGCAATTTCACACAGCTGACGCTCTTGTTTCTTCTTACAAAATGTTCCTACGTCCATGTATCGGTGTGATAGATCATCCAACAGAATCATGATAAATTATTTTCATGTATTTACTTCGATTTTCGTTTGAAAGTTTTCTCAACTCTAAGATATCCGAAGAATACATTGAATACAATCACAAATAACGTGTCCAAAAACAGCATGTTAACTTAGTGGTTGAAACATTTCTTAGTCTCAAAGAAAATCCGCGGCTTTGTGAAGCCATATTGCGAAATCGACTATTTGCACTACTCGTTGCAATATAGGAAATCGGGAGAGTCCAAATTTGCCTGACTTACCTTCCCTATAAAAGCTTTGAACGAGAGGCGAACGTGCTTTCTCGAAAAGGAATGGGACGTTTAATAAGAGTAACTGTACCTAAAAGAAATTGGGAATGGGCGGTAGCGGCGGCGGCGACGACGGCGATGGCGGCAGCAACCGAGTTTGGGTGAAAGGTTCGCGAACGGCGAAGGCATTGCCCGGGGCGGATACGTGCTCCAAAGGATATTAAAGTATTTTAATTGCAGCGGATCTCGCGGAACGCTGGAAGGATTTATTCGAAATCACTCGATTGAGTCTATGAATAGGGATTAAGCTTGGCCCCGCCGGCGGACGCGGCGTTGGCTCGGCGCAGCGCGGGCCGTCGCGCCGAGCGAATTCCAGACGTCAGGAGTGGAAGGCAGAAATAATTGAATATTTAATAGGATAACTCACATATAGCCGCTTCCCGTCGTAGCCGCGCGGCGTCATCCGTCACGACGACGGGACGTCGATTTTTCTGTCACGTCCCGTGGCTGCCGATTAATTATACAGTCTACCCGGGCGTAATACGAGGGTAATACGAAGACGAGGACGACTTTAATAAATCTAGTTATTTCGTAGCCAATGCACACACAAAAAAATATTATTTCATCGATCCCCCGTATTACATCCTCGCGTAAAAGACTACGATTTCCCGCCCATGACAGTAATATTGACACGAGGAAGATATTGTCTGTCGCGGAAGCAGAATTGGAGGAGCATACATATATCAAAACGCGATCTGCGATCAGAAATATTCATTGCCGAAACATCATAGAACAAACGATTATATCAGCAACATGGGAGTTTAATTAATTTAACAGCGAGACCAGGATTATTCTCCAAGAGAAATCAAATTTCAGATATTAATTTAAACAAATAATTAATGTCACGAATGTAATACTACTGACAGCCAAATATTTCATTATCAGCTATTAAAAAGGCTTTTATTTCGGAAATTGTTACTACGCAAATAGCTACATATGTGAATGTAATATGCAAGTTCAATTTTTAATTAATCTTGATAATTACGGTTGATTTGCCTTATATAAATTATTACTTTATTCAGTATTTAAATAAGTACTGAAAAAAGTCGTAGCATATATCACGTATAAAGTTTTATTCGTCGCCAAATTTTTTTATATTAAAGATTAACAAATTCATATATAAAAAGGTTTCGTAAGAAATATTAAAGACTCCTGCGATCATCAAGTGCTTAAATTCTTTTATCGCGGTATAAAAGTATCCGCGATATAAAAAGTCATGGCACGTCAAACGTACAGCTAAACCGTTACTTTAGAACAGTATTTGGTAATAATTCTTGTGGAAATCGCAGTGCCTTCTGACGTTTGGTAATAACAGGTCGTCCATCATAGTTCTTATCA